TTCAAATATTTTCAAAAACATAACTTTCATATAAATTGATTGATATTTCCTAAATATTATTCATTCATAACATGACATATTAACAGCATAATTTATTCATAAAATTGTATTATCAAAATACAGTATATTCATAATATATTCACAACATTAAATTTTTATTACATGATTCTTTCATCAATGGATAAATTCATAAACATGATATATTTATAAACATGTATTCATAAACATGATAACTGGATTTATTCATTAACAAGATAACAAGAAACTCTCAAAACATGTTTTCAAAATATGAAACTTTCACTGGATTTATTCATAAACAAGATATATTAACAAGAAGCCATCAGAACATGTTTTGAAATATAACACTTTCAATAACGGATTTATTCATAAACATGATACTTTGAAAACATGATAATATTTATAGCATGATTTATTTACAACATGATAAATAACATGATGTCTTTCATAACATGATATTAATCTTTGCTCCTTTTGCTTTGTTGGCAAATGGTATAATTATAATGAATTAGTACTTTTTATGAATAAGTCTAATGATACCATTATGACACATACATGTAACTGCACAATCAATGTGACTTTCCTCAACTTTTAAACATCTAACAATCATGCTCTACATGCATTATAAAAACATTCTTTAACACGTTTTTAAATTTCTAAACAATTTAATATATATGGAATAACGAGGCATAATGTGCCTATAAGATACTAACACACTGAGATTCATTGATTTACATATATAATCATTTATATTTAGCAGTCACTGCACAACAGAATACATGTATTTTAATATAACAATATCACACTTAAACACTTAACCTGCTGAATTTCTTAGATGGAGTTGTTGGCTATCTACCATTCTCTCGGAAGTGACTAAATAATTATCATGATGAAACTTTGTTAAGTTAGTCAGCCAACAAGTTCTGAGAGCCAGGTCAGACTGCACCAACATGCTATATAGAGGCTAATACATGTATAGTGTTTTATCACAGGCCCATGTCGCTATTTGCATCTCCGTAACAATGGTATGCACGGCTGTGCATAAATTTTGACTTTACATAATAGTTGGATTATACAAATATAGCGTAAAAACATGCTAAATGTTAGTATTACACTATAAGCACGTCAATGAAAAACTGACTTTTATTTTGGGTATGTGATAAACAGAATATCATATTCGTGTTAGTTTATTACTGAATTTATTCAACTCATTCAATAAATTCAATATTGAATTTACACTCATCCAATATCTTCTATATAGAGGCTAATCATTCCTGATTCCAGCAGGTGAAGAGTTAAAGCTTATAGAGAATTACAGTTCTAACAATGAAAGCTATGTCTATTACTGTAGGTTATAACACAGTGAAAGGCAATGGCAGTTTACGAATTAAATTTGTGATATTTAATGAGTCAATTTTTACTTAAAGGGTATAGGTCATAAATGAAGTCAAAAGTTGGGCATTAATTTTATCAAATTTTTTTACAGAGTTATATCTTCTTACATGAAAGAGTGGTTCATGGTTATGATAAATACACAAAGCTAAAAGGGTGCAGGAAAAAATGTGAGGTGGTATAAATTACTAAATTAAAAGTGTTAAACAGACTCCAATCAATAATGTCACTTTAAACGCCTATGGATTACGAACCCTAAACAAAGTATCTGTAAATATCCACTCATGTAAGGCAATATTGTAAAAAAAAAACCTGAATAATTCAGTCTCAATCAGAATAATGTTTGTTCAGGCTACATGGAAGCCCAGAATGACCTCTCTGTGCAGCCTGACCAGATAGTAACAGGTGGCTTAAGTCTACAATATCATCACTTCAAGCAGTTTAAAGTTCAAAGCCTAAATTATTCAAAACAAAATATGTATTCAAAATCTGAATTATTCAAAACAAAAAAACAAACCAAAAGCACGATTCAATATTGACATTTTAAAATTGATAGTTACGTCATATTAACGTATTACTAAGTACTTGTAGAATAGAAATTTATTTATTAACAGTCTCTTACATATCATTTACATTTCATAAAATAAATCATAAGAAATGTGACTCGGTTTGTTCACTTCATAATGAGTGTTGTCCTGCAAAAATATCAAATAAAATCATTATTTTATCAAATGACATTGTTTTTTTCTAATCAAATATATATCCATTAGTATTCACACTTTTCTTGAACATTTTGCAAGTAAAAAATAAAAACATCACAGTATTATATAATGTAAATGAGTAATGCATTTTGCACCTTTATTCCATCAATTTTCAGTTATATATAGTTATATTATAAACAAATTCTTCTTTATTTTCTTTTTCCCTTTGTGCTTAATATGATTACATACACTGTTTTATTCAAATGTCACAGCACTAATGATATATTCATAAAAGAAAACTTGTCAAAAGGAAGTTCATTGTTCAGAGTATTGTTGTTCTAAAAGAAAAACAAAATGTATACTGCAAGAATCAATTTAACACAAATGTATACAAGGAAAATACTTTTTTTGAAAAATGGAAAAAAATGGGAAACTCATTAAAGTTTTGGCGTCTCAATTATACAATGCAGTACCATTATCTGTTATTTTGTACATAAACATCATGTGTTTTACACAAACTATGAAGGAATTTTCATTTTTTTACAGAGCATATTTCCCATGCTACTAACACATTTAGGGGTAAACTGATACAATACAAGCAAAATATATGAGGACACTTAGTGTCAATGTTACTTGATTTGTTGGTTTTCTTGTTTTGTTTTGTTTTTTTTTTTTTTTTTTTAAACAAATTTAACACAATGTTTTGGTCATATCTTGTCAATTGATCCATCTAATTGGCTTTCGTGGATAAACAACCAGTAGATACCATTTTCTCCACCAATGACTGACTCCTACATTTATATTACATAGTAATTCTAAAATCTAAAACAATATATAATTCACCATGCATCTATAAAACAAACGTTTTACCCTACTACCCTACACAGTGTGGTTTGAACCTTTGTTTTTGAAAAACAAATATCATCATCAAACGATACAATTACAACATTGGTTTGTACATATACATGAAAGCAGGAAATTAATTAATTAATTGATGTTTTTTTTTTTCTCACTCCAAGAAAAACCAGCTTACAGATTAATCACTTTTAGCCAACTACAATTTCAAATAGTAAGATGCAACTAATGTTATGCAAAAATAATACAGTATAATAACAGATGAAATTAAACCATGTTACATCTTAAATTTGTGGATCGACAAAAATCACAACAATGAGTGCCCCAAGCATAATTATGATTTTGCTGTAATTATGAAAATCCAAATTTAACATATTTCTTACAGTTTCTTTTTATATAACTATAAAAAAAATGAGTGATTATAGGTGCCTGATAAACCAGGGTCTTTCAAATAGAATTTGAAAGACCCTGGTTAAACCAATCTTGAAATCTTAAATGAATGTAAATGAGCCGCGCCATGACAAAACCAACATAATGGGTTTGCGACCAGCATGGATCCAGACCAGCCTAAGCATCTGCGCAGTCTGATCAGGATCCATGTTGTTCGCTATCAGTTTCTCTACTTGTAATAGGGTTTGTAAGCGAACAGCATGGATCCTGATTAGACTGCGAGGATGCGCAGGCTGGTCTGGATCTATGCTGGTCGCAAACGCACTATGTTGGTTTTGTCATGGCGCGGCTCAAATGTATTTCTGACCTTGCTTTGAGAAACACATTTTCACTCTTCATAATTTCACACACAAACCAACTTCACTAGATGGTAGTAACAACATTAATGAATATTCTGTCAATGAGCTAGCTATAATTCTAACAATAACTAAGCCTTTATAAATGTAAAAATAAAATACTTAAAGGAACTCCACTGAGACCCATTTGAATTTCTCACATATATCAACTAGGGCACATAAACAAAATGATATGCAAATGAAAGATAATTAAGAAATATACTCAGAAATCAATTAAAATTATATTTTTGTGTTAATCTTATCCTGATTTCGAGTAAAAAGCATTGCAAAGTTTTTCAATTTTGAGACATTTTTCACAATTCAACTAATTATTCTGAAAAAAAGAAGAAAAAAAGAGTGAGCTAATGATCTGAAATTTTGAATACAAATTATTGGTCTAGACCTGCATCACATGAAAGAAGAATCTTAAATAAACTACATTTTGTATTTCCTGTCCAGTCTCAGTGGTCTCCCTTATAGAATATCGTACAAACCCTAAAAAATCGGTAAATATCCCCTCATGTTTTGTTACATAATAATAAAGGCCTTCTTTTGACAATTTTGAGGCCTTCTTTTGTCAGTGTTCATGATATCAGCTAAATTACAAAAACAAAACAAGAGGGCCATGATGGCCCTGAGGTCGCTCACCTGTATATAGCCCCCCCCCCCCCGGCCCAATTTTTACCCAAGGGCTTTTATTTGAACAGACTTGGTAGACACCCATAAGAAGATGTTTCATGCAAAACATCTAAGTTCTAGCTCATTGGGTTTTTTAAAAGAAGATTTTTTAAGTTTTTACTATACACATATAGTTAAAAACAATGACACCCCTCGGGCAGGGCCAGTTTTGACCCCTGGGCTTTTATTTGAACAAACTTTGTAGATATTTACTTAAAGATGTTTCATGCTTAATATCTAAACTCTAGTTATTTGGGTTTTTTCAAAAGAAGAATTTTAAGTTTTTGCTATGTATATAAGGAAAATCAATGACCCCGGGGCGGGGCCAGTTTTTGACCCCAGGGCTTTTATTTGAACATACTTGGTAGACACCATTAGAACATGTCTCATGCTAAAATATCTTAGCTCTAGCTCTTTGGGTTCTTTAAAAGAAGATTTTTTTAAGTTTTTACTTTATGCATATAAGGAAAATCAATGACCCCCTGGGGCGGGGCCAATTTTGACCCCAGGGCTTTTATTTGAACAAACTTGGTAGACATTCACTAGAAGATGTTTCATGCCAAATATCTAAGCTCTAGCTCTTACGGTTCTTTAAAAGAAGATTTTTTAAGTTTTTTACTATATGCATATAGGGAAAATCAATGACCCCCTGGGGCGGGGCCAATTTTGACCCCAGGGCTTTTATTTGAACATACTTGGTAGACATTCACTAGAAGATGTTTTATGCCAAATATCTAAGCTCTAGCTTTTACGGTTCTTTAAAAGAAGATTTTTAAGTTTTTACTATATGCAATTAGGGAAAATCAATTACCCCCCAGGGCGGGGCCAATTTTGACCCCAGGGCTTTTATTTGAACAAACTTGGTAGACATTCACTAGAAGATGTTTCATGCCAAATATCTAAGCTCTAGCTCTTACAGTTCTTTAAAAGAAGATTTTTTAAGTTTTTACTATATGCATATAGGGAAAATCAATGACCCCCTGGGGCGGGGCCAATTTTGACCCCAGGGCTTTTATTTGAACAAACTTGGTAGACATTCACTAGAAGATGTTTTATGCCAAATATCTAAGCTCTAGCTTTTACGGTTCTTAAAAGAAGATTTTTTAAGTTTTTACTATATGCATATAGGGAAAATCAATTACCCCCCAGGGCGGGGCCAATTTTGACCCAGGGCTTTTATTTGAACAACTTGGTAGACATTCACTAGAAGATGTTTCATGCCATATATCTTAGCTCTAGCTTTTTGGGTTCTTTAAAAGAAGATTTTTAAGTTTTTACTATATGCATATAGGGAAAATCAATGACCCCCTGGGGCGGGCCAATTTTAACCCCCGGGCTTTTATTTGAACATACTTGGTAGACATTCACTAGAAGATGTTTCATGCCAAATATCTAAGCTCTAGCTCTTACAGTTTCTTAAAAGAAGATTTTTTTTAAGTTTTTACTTTATGCATATAGGGAAATTCAATGACCCCTGGGGCAGGGCCAATTTTGACCCCAGGGCTTTTATTTGAACAAACTTGGTAGACACTCACTAGAAGATGTTCCATGCCAAATATCTTAGCTCTAGCTCTTACAGTTCTTTAAAAGAGATTTTTTAAGTTTTTACTATATGCATATAGGGAAAATCAATGACCCCCCGGGGCGGGGCCAATTTTGACCCCAGGGCTTTTATTTGAACAAACTTGGTAGACACTCATTAGAAGATGTTTCATGCCAAATATCTAAGCTCTAGCTCTTAGGGTTGTTTAAAAGAAGATATTTAAAGATTTTTCTTTCGGTTGCCATGGCAACCAGAGTTCTGCATGGAATTAAATTCTTTGAACAATTTTTAAAGGTGACCACCAAAGGAACATTCCTGTGAAGTTTGGATGAAATTGGCTCAGTGGTTTATGAGGAGATGTCATTTAAAGCAAAAGTTTACGGACGGACGACGGACGGACGGACGGACGCCGGACGAAAAGCGATCACAAAAGCTCACCCTGTCACTTTGTGACAGGTGAGCTAAAAACTAATTCCTAAATCCCCAGACTAGAAATGACTTCTATAATATCACATCATTTTATACATTTCTTTCCTATATATAGATAGTATGGAATGCTTTAAATTGGAAACAAAAAGCAAGTTATTTGAAAACAAAATTTAATAATAATATACATAGAGCAAATTTTTTCAGAATTCTTTTGTTTAAAAAAGGTAAATTTTCTTCAATAAAAAATTTTCTTTTAAATTTTTTTTTCAATCATATTTTTTAATGTTTTTTTTTTATGAGATTCAAATTATGGAAAAAATGAACATACTCGGCAGATATGAGTAAAATATCAATGCCCACTCATACAACTAAAATCGAAAAACTTCAACCAGTTATTTTCTAACTAGTTATTTTCTACATAACAAAAGCACAAAATGAAAATGACTATATTATTCCAGTCACACCATCTACCAAAGAGCTAAGAACAGAAACTAAACTGTGCACTATCTTATCAATTTGCTTGTAAAGATCATGTTGTAAATTTATACACCTTTGATGGTCAATTAAGACCTCAGGTGCCACTCCATGCATTATTTCAGGCACAATCGGATACCTGAGTAGAACCACTGACCTTCCGCGAGGTAGTTCAAGAGCTTTCCGCACATGGAAGAATCTACAGTTTGTGACGGTATTCAAATCTATAACAGTTAGAGGTAAGTGATATGAAGTTGGCAACATTCAGCACTTGGCTACTGGCTTCCATTATATTGAAAAGAAACACAGCAATTGACATAGCAGTAAAATGAACATTATAAAAACTACCAAGTGCTACAGCATTAAAATTTACCAGGTACACTTTCTAACAACAAAAAATGTAAAAAGAGCAAGTAAATAAAGTGAACACAGGTGCAAATGGAATGAAGCTGAATAAACATTTCACACCTGAGAAAAGGTGACACAATATTCTTCAGAATAGATCTATTGTAAGTGGAGATATTGAACAAAAAATTAACACGTTACAAAATTTAGAAATACATTTAGATTACCCTGACAACTGGATTTTCCAACAATTCCCCTCTTATGTAGATTTTAAGACTAACATTCTTATTGACTTAGTGTGGCAGATTTTCATGTCTCTTTTGGATGAATTAAGACCTTTAATTGTCACCTACCAGTTAATTAATTATGCATGTTTAGAACATAAATTAATCATGTTTTATAAAGGTATTACTTACCAAGATCAATACATTTTTTTAATAACTTTTACTTTACTTTTTTTCTGATAAAAATATTAAAGAGTGAGTTGTCCAGGCTCAAAAGAAAGCAAAGGGAAGGGAATTGTCCACCCTGCAAAAATAGAGTGAAAATGTCTGTGTTGTTAAAAATAATTGGGAGGGGAATTGTCCAGATTCCCGATATTTTAAGTCTTCAAGATTCCTTCTTGTTTCTATAAATAAAATATCCTTCCTTTATCTTAACATCTAAATAAATTAATTTCAAAAGAAAAATTCAATAAAAAAAAAACAAAAAAAAACATGATTATTAAGTTAACATAAAGTTTTTAAATAAGTTAATAAGCACAATAAATATCCATTGTTAATTGCACAAAATAAATCACATCTTGTTATTTTCTTTGTTAAATAAAACTAACAACAACAACAAAATAAGCAAAAATCACATAACTAATTAAGTAATAAATTCAAACAACAAAGATTATTTTTCAAAAAAAAAAAAAAAAACCCAACAAAAAAAATATTTTTTTCAAAATCATCTTCATGTAAACGAATAATTTATAGAACAAAGAGGCTCCTGACCCAAATCTTCTTATAACCCCCATCCCCCACACATTTTCAAAAGATTTAAGTTAAATTTACTTATTGAAGTACAGTCATATTTATATGCATGTTTCTATGTTGTTGTTTTTTTGTAGTTTGCTTTGGATAGGTTTAAAGTCACACAATAAGCCAGCTAAATAGATTCCACATGTTAAAGAATCAAAAAAGTTCCTGGTGGGATTCAAACCCACAGCAGTGAAGAGCAAGTGGTAAGCTAAGTTAGCAACCATAATCACTTAACCATGGTATGGAGATGTCATAACCAATGTTGGTAAAAGCACGCAGACAAAACAACACTAATATTAATATGATACCAATGCTGCGTAATTAAACATGTAGCTCAATTTATAGCTAGCTTAAGATATACACATAAATACTATAAATATCTACAATACCATGTTGAAAATAATATCTTCCATTGAAAAACCTTTTCTTACAAGGCAGTTGAATCAGTTTCAGTGGGAACAAACACCAGCGGTGGTATTTTCTGACCAACCTTAACATTTGTTTGACCTTGACCTACATTTTCTAAATTCTCCTTACTTTTCCTTTCTGCTTCTAAGGCACAGGACACTACATCTGGGCAATTCAACCTATCACCTAAACTGGAGTCTGATTTAGATGCAAGCTGCTTTTCTTTTTCAATCTGAATCTGTATGTATTTATTTTTTTCCCTAGAAGCTTCAAAAAACACCCAGACTGTGTCAGATTTTCAGGATCTGAACTTTCATCAATATCAACTGGAGGCTTGTTATTCTCTAATATATTCAAGCTTTCTGGCTGATCTAGACTAAGTTGTGTAGAGGACTCAGTGGAATCACTTTCACTAGTTTTTCTACTGGATAAGGACTTCAATCTCCATTTTCTGGAAATAGACCCAAAGTCCTGTTTCTTCAAATTCTTCCTCACACTTCCTGTAGAGTGAGCTCTCCTGTGAACCTGAGCAGACGTGGGTCTGACTTCTGAAGGATTTTGGGTAGATGAAAGTTTTGAAGAACAACTTGAATCATTGACATCAACCTTAGTGTCAAGATCAGACTTAGTAACGTCTGAATTTTCAAAGTGTGATTCAGTACTTAGAGTTGCTTCACTTTTTTCAACTATTTGGGGCTTAGCCTCTTTCTCATTTTTTGGGTAAGATGTTTTGACATGAAGCACTATCTCTGCTTCGGAGCCGTCTCCTGCAGTGGAATTATGGGAAATTTCTGCAGTTGTAACAGTCACTTGACCGCGGTCATCCGTGATATTCATTCTTATTTCTGAACTCTGTTGCTGATCATCCTTAGCTACCAATGCATCGGGCTGATATGGGTTATGAACAGTAACATCAACCTGTTGAGACTTGCCAGTCTGTAATATAGAATGCGTTAAGAACATCAGAGTGACATAGAGAAAAATTCATATTATAAAATACTCATCAATACTCGTTCTTTATGTAAAAATAATACAAAATGAACAAGAGCTGTCACTAAGACAGTGTGCTCAACGTTTCTCAGTGCCTGATAGTTAAACAAGAGGCCTGGATTATGTAGAATTTTCAGAGTTCCAAAATAGCCATAATTCTGTCAAAATAAAATATAAATTGTTAAATTATTATCTATATTCCAGTGTACAATGCCATTAAGAAGTGTAATATTATTACATGTATTCCCGTGTACAATGCCATTACCAAGTGAAAAATTAGAATGAGTAACGATTCGCCACACTTACGATTCGCCACAGAGTAATAACGATTCGCCACAGTTAAATTAAGATTCGCCGCAGTATGATTATAACAATGATTTTTTAGTAATCAACAAACTTTTTTTTTTTTTTTTTTTTTAAACAATTTGACAATGACAATAATTTAATAATGTTTCTTAATACAAGTAATATGAACTTAAGGCCCCCATCGCGGATTTTCAATTTATCAAAGTAACATACATTATTACAGGAGTACATTTATAAGAAAGAAATTATACGTTGAAATAAAAATTGAATTAATCGTAAACATATATGTCAATTAATTATATATAAATTATATATATATGTCAAATATTTAAAAAAAATGGTTATTGCAAAAACATGTGTTCATTACGAAAATTGATTTACGATAATCGTTAAAGAACGCACATCTAAAACATTTGTCACACCTTTAATTTCAACAAGCCAATCATCTTAAGATTGTTGTAGAAATATTTAATTGACGCCGAAATAATCCTTTAATTCTCTGACAATGTGAGCAACTGTGCACAATTGGATACTACTACATGTAGTTTTTGTCACTTTGTTTTGTTAACAATGTGTTATGTTATTTCAGAGACATATAAATACATGTATTTTAACGTCTCTGGTTATTTTGGAAATAAAAAATGTTGAGATATTAATAATAAAAAAAGATATTATAAAAAAGCTATTTTTGTATTTTTTGGGGCTATAGAAATAACAAACTTTTTGTCATTTTGGTAATAAAATATGTTTTTATGTGTTTCTATTCAATAAGAGCTGATTTAGTCTGGTTAAAGTTTTAAAAAATGTTAACATATTTACACTGTGTAATAAAATATGTTTGTTATCATGTGTCTTTATTCAATAAAAGCTGTTTTTCGTATAACTTTCCAGTTTATATAAATAACGAAGTTTAACTTATCTACAATGTGTAATGTAATTTTGGTAATAAAATATTTGGTTTTCATGTGTTTTTATTCAATAAACGTTGTTTTTAGTATAACTAATTTATGTAATTAACAAATGAAATATAGAATGGAAAAAAGTTTTCCATCAACAGTTTGAAAGCAGCACGCTTCCGGATTCATGCAAATTTTCATGAACAAATTTGAAAATGTTTTAAAAAGTAAATTTAAATATTGTCAAGTGAATAAAGAAAATAATTTTCACGTTGATTACAGTACTTATACAACCCATGTAAATCAGCAAAAAGAGGTAAAAATATGCAAAACGTAGTAGAAATATGGTGAAAAATACTACTAATTAAATCGGTCAAAAATCGCCGATTACATATAAAATTATTACTAAAGTCTTGTATCTTTTTATTGTTCTTATAAATCAAAATACTGTTTCTCAAGTTTGATTTTCTTGAAATAGTTTGATTCATCTGGAGGCATGCAGCTTTAAAAACAGATGTGATAAAGTTCGTATTTGAACACATGGCGAATCGTTATTTAACTGTGGCGAATCGTTAATACTCCGTGTCGAATTGTTATGTGGCGAATCGTTAGTGTGGCGAATTGTTACATTACCAAAAATTATTACCTGTATTCCAGTAAGCAATGCCATTACAAATTGTGAAATCATTACCAGTACCGTATTCCAAAGTACAATGCCATTACCAAGTGTAAAATTATTACCTGTATTCCTGTGTGCAATGCCATTACCAAGTGTAAAATTATTATCTATATTCCTGTGTGCAATGCCATTACCAAGTGTAAATTTATTATCTATATTCCTGTGTGCAATGCCATGATAAATTGTGAAATCATTACCAGTACCGTATTCCAAAGTACAATGCCATTACCAAGTGTAAAATTATTATCTATATTCCTGTGTGCAATGCCATTACCAAGTGTAAATTTATTATCTATATTCCTGTGTGCAATGCCATGATAAATTGTGAAATCATTACCAGTATTCAAGAGTACAATGCCATTACAAAGTGTAAAATTATTACCTATATTCCAGAGTACAATATTGTCTATTAATATTGTCAATTGTAAAATTGCATCCTGTACTCCATTATAAATTGTAAAATTATTACCTGTATTCCAATATGTACTGTGTCGTTCCCCACAAATCTAGAGGACCTCCTTATAGCGTCTTCTCTCACTAAAAAAAGAGCAAAAACCAAACATTTCAATATAGACAAATTGAGTAAAAGTTCTACTGCATACCCTTTCACATTCATGATGACAATCCACTATTACAACAGATCAATTTTAAAACCTGAATCTAGATTTTAAAATCAATTCAATAGTATTTTCCTTGACTTCTATGTTATTTTCTTCTATGACCAACTCATATAAGATACAGTGTATGGTCATAAAGTATATGTTTATCTTTTTTTTTTTTGAAAGAATATAATCAACCGTCTCTTGCCTGTCTACATGTTGCTTTTGGAGACTTGTAACATCAATGTTAATAATCAGCCAATCAGAATGCCTCTTTTGTCTCTATATTAAGAATGGTATATGATATTCTTCCATATATTTCATAAGCATTTTGTGCAATTATAATATATTACCATGCAAGTATTGTTTACAGTTTTAAAACTTTTAGCAAAGCAACCCTTATTTCAGGTGAAATATTTCTAAATTGAGAACAATCAATATTTAAATGGTATATGAAATGGGGCTTTTTGGGTATAGAACTTGGTCAAACCCTAAATATTTGTATTTCTTTAACTTGAACACATATTATTGAATGTACAATAGTCTTATGTCTCTGCATGTTGATACAGAAATCATATGGTAAAAGATGTCAGTCACTTACAGAGAGATCAGTATTTACAAATTATTTATCCAGGAAAGCCTGTTTGCCTTGAGTTGATGCACATGTCAGCATATTGTCCTGATATAGTAACTCTATATGTGCATTGATGTGATCGGCACTTTGTTATTTATATTTTTCGGCTTTGTTATTATTTCAGCTAAAAATTTTCAAAGTATCTCTTGAGTTCTATGGGTTTCTACTTTGATTTTGAAGAAGAAAACAATTTTTTCACAAGTTGGTCTTAAGAATAGTGAATTTTCCTCATTTTTTCATGGATTTTCAGTGTGTTTTGACAAATGTGAAAAAGCAGGTGCTTGCCTTTCAAATTAGGGAATAACAAGAGCTGTCCGTAAACAGTGCAATCGACTATTCTCACTGCTTGATAGTAAGAAAAGGGACATAACTCTGTTAAAAAGTACAACTGCTTGCCATGAACAAGTTCAATCACAGCAATCCTGAAACATTATCTTTGATCTGACATTTTCAGTCTGACCTTTAAGATTTTTTTCCATATTAGCAATTTCTTGACATTTAACTGCCAACTATTTATTAAAGATTCATTTCTAAAACCCAAAGAGTATTTTTACAGAACACTACAATAGACTTACTCTGGAAATAAGAATATTTCGGGTTTTCCCAACTAAAAACGTACGTACAAACAAACTATTACAGTTACAGCTTCGTTAATAAGCGAAATAGGTTGACTTATCTATTGTGACGGGTAGTGCAACGTGAAGCTGTAACGGTAAAAATTAGTTTATACTACAGATAAGCTGGGGACATTTGCCGAGTTCCGGATAACGTCTATCATCTAAATGCTGATGCAACATGTTGTCACCTTACCAGATTGTTTGTTTGGCTTTATGGGTACCCCCAATTTTTTTTCTTCCTTTTTTTCAATCACAATTCTCTTAAATCATGCAAAGTTTAAGAAAATTCTCTCTGCTAGTTTAAAGTTCCTTTCATTGCCTTTGTAAAAAAATAAAATACTAAAATTTCCCATTAGGTACATACTTCTTTAAACAACAATACTGTTTTTTTTTGTAAATAGATCTAATTAAATTTTATGATTTAATAATTAATTTCATTCAAATTGTCTAAATAAACTATATGTTAAGCCTCATTTAATATCCCCTAGGTACTTATAATGTTTACAAGATTATTATATTTCAACAATTTTTTGTTTTCTTGTAAGTTTTCACACAAAATTTTCCCACTTACAGTTATTATGTACATGTAAATTTATAATCTCACTTTTAGAGTCAGAGGTGTAAAAATTTGCTAAGTACTTCACTGATAAACATATAAATAAATAAATAGATTTTATCAGAAACAAATTGTAGAACAGGTTAATTTAAGACCTAAACTCATTGCCAAAAACATGTATATTATGGAGGGCGTTCGTTGCCAAAATTCCAGACATGTAAAGTGTTCCTTTTTAAAATGACTTTTGAAAATGCGAACTTGTATGCCTACCATTTTTATTGTATACCTCTTGATTCAATCTTTTAATTGAAGGTTACCGCCTTTATATAACAAGTTTACATATATATTGTAACAACTGACCTAACATCTAAAACGACAACAAATTTACAAGTTCGTATCTTCCATTGCATGCAATACATATGCATGTTTGCACACTTATAGATCTGAAATATACAAATGAAACGTAAAACTCGAATACGGAAAATAGAGTTTAAGAAAACGTGTTACCAGTTGTAGAACTACAAGAGTACGTTAACACAGTAACATGTTTAAAATGACAAAAGTAGATTCACAAAGTTAAACGATTTTAAGTCAAGCATAACGCCCCGCCCCTCTCGGAGTATTTACAAACTTCTATTGCGGACAGGTATAAAACGGCGCCTCTCCCATATTTTTAAATAAAACTGAAGGACAACATACGGCATTTTTCATAACATATATATGTTACATTTGTTACAAAAGTTTTGTCACTAGCAACATCACTTGAAAATTGCTGATTTTACCATATATGATGAAGATAACTTATGCATTACCTTATTATTTAACATCGTGTTCTTGTCAGTTACAAATTATTTATCATTTTAGTAATTAGCCTGTCCGTGCTCTGCCTAGTGCCCTGTCCTGTGTTTTGTTTTGGGTCCGCCTGGGCTTCTTGCCACTTGTTCTTGTTGCTGGGTCATGTATTGGCACAATTTTCATTTTCAACAAAAACTATGCAAGTATATTTTAAAGTGGCCACCGAGATTTCCTTTCCGAAATCAAGAAAATACTTATCCGTAGCACATATGTACAATCTTTAATAAGGTATTTTCAGTATGAATAAAAACTTTTTGCACTTGTTCATTATCCCTCATGTACAGACTCAATCAAACCGAGTCTGCAATTCTTATGTAATTTTGTAGTGATTAATGCTTCCGAGGGATCACTTTGTTTCCAGATTTTTATACTTCACAACAGCAGGTGTCAAGTGCCGTGTGGCAGCTGTAAAAAGTTGCCCCGTACTTCACTTCAGTGTTGTCATATTTTTCTGGTCTTTCGGGATCATTGATGCCAGCGCTATTAAGTGTTGAGAATTGAGTACCGTTCAAGCCGGTGCTAGGGGGCGTGAGGCATGTTGCACTTGTTCATTATCCCTCATGTGCAGACTCAATCAAACCGAATCTGCAATTCTTAAGTAATTTTGTTGGGATTAATGCTTCCGAGGGATCACTTTGTTTCCAGATTTTTAATATACTTGTTCAAAACTTATGGTCTTAACTTCATTCAATATTCATTTTTCTTTTTGAATAAAGTATCTAAAGGAAGCGACGTTATTATTTTCCGAATATATGAGTGTGGATTTAAGAGAAAAAAAATAAACAACGATAAGTTAGAAACAAAAATTTTAATACTTCTACGTAATTAATTTTCCTTTTTAAAGGCATCACTAGAAAGTTCATTAAGGATTCTTAAGCACTATTAAGTGTTGAGAATTGAGTACCGCTCAATCCGGTGCTAGGGGGCGTGAGGGATGTTGCACTTATTCATTATCTCTCATGTACAGACTCAATCAAACCGAGTCTGCAATTCTTATGTAATTTTGTTGTGATTAATGCTTCCGAGGGATTACTTTGTTTCCAGAATTTTTTACTTGAGTCTAAAATTATCAACGCCGCCTTTCCTTGATGATCTTGTTTATCATATTCTAAAATTATCGAAATTGACCAAGAAATAAAAAAAGTAAGTAGGGGGCGCCATGTTTCTCTTACTGAATTTCAGAGTGTGTTTTGTTTTTTTGGGGAGGCTATGCCGACCCAATGTTAATAACCGTCCGTCAAATCTTACTGCCGCAGTAATCAGGTCAAAAAATAGTACCTTGATTTTTTCTAAGCTGACTCATCACTCATCACAGACATTTACAATATGAACTTTTATTTCATATCTGCGATTTGTAAAGATAATAATTCTCTGAAAAATTCTTGATTTTTGTTTGTTATTTTTTCAATTCACTACTCCGTGACGTCATACTGCCGCGGTAATCAGGTTTAGGCATACGTACGTTGGTAATAAATAGTTTTGGTATGAAAACCCTTCTATATAATAACTTTATCAATATTTTTTAAACAAAAAGCATAAATGAAAATTTATAGGTAAATGCTTTAATTACTTTAATTAGGTGGCAAAAATTCTTTATTATTTTTGATAACAATTTTCCAATTACTACGCAGCGACCAACTGTTTATGACGGGTCATTAACTAGAACGTTGCAACACCGTAGTCTCAATATCATGCATGTTCTTTTGTTGCTATAAACCATTAATAGTCCTTAATAATTTTTTAAAGACAAATAATGGTAAACTGTCGCTTACATCAGAGACATGGATCATGCTTGCGTGATAACTAAGGAAAACTAACTTATTAGTACACCTTAGGAGGCTGTACGCGGAAAACGCTCATAAACCGCTATATCATATAGCTGTTAGTAAATATTTTGCATACATTTAACTAAAAATTCACTAATGGTGATGAACATATAGTTTGAAAACATTATATTCTTAAACCATGTATCGCCGAAAAAAAAATATTTAACTACAAAATCCGTAAGGACCCTCCGACATAAAAGTATCTTTTAAAAATATGTCTGGCAATTGACAGATCCCTACTCTGATCTTTTATTTGTAAAGGAATAAATTTAAACATGTGCTCTTTTGTTTAGGAATATTTTGTAGTGAAAGTCTTAATATATCCACTAATCTCATAATTAGAATTAGACAGGTCAGGGATTTATACAACCAGCAGTTTAGTTATCTACGCTCATTTTAATCCCAATAGAAACATTCAAATATTTGGGGTAAAAAACATGACCAAAGTACCTAGTAGTCGTTTACCCGGTGGTGATCCCATTAAACTGATCATAGATTCGAATAGAAAACACAAATAGAAACATGTGTTTCGGTACAACAAAAATCGGAAGTAAAGTGAACAGTTAAATGACAGAAATATGTGGTCAAATATGTTTTAACAAGGAAATAATTATTTCAGAGAAAGACGCAAAGAATTCAGTCTTCAATCAAATGAATGACCCCGTATTGTGTAATTAGAAAAGTT